AAGGTCTGTAAACAATATGTTGGAATTTTGATGGGGGTTGTGTTGAATCTATAGGTCTATTTAAATTGTTTATCTGATCTTGATTTAACTTTGATAAATGGTATCTATCAAAATTATCCATTTCTTTTAGATTTTTCAATTTCGTGTAGTATAGATTTAATATATGTCTTTAGGATTCTCTAGATTTCCTCCTCTGTTGTTGTGCCACCCTTTTTCTTTCTGATTTTGTTCATTTGGATATTCTCTCTTTGCTTTTTAGTTTGGACAAGTGTTTGTCTAGCTTGCTGATTTTTCTCAAAGAACCAATTCTTTCTTTCATTAATTCTTTGTATTCTCTTTGTTTCTATTTTATTGATTTCAGTTTGATTGTTCTTGCTGTCTAATCTTGTATATAATTATTTCTTTTTGTTTTATAGCTTCCAGGTGTGCTATTAAGTTGCTAGTATGAGATCTCTCCAGTTTTTTTTTTTTATATAGGCACTTAGTACTGTGAACTTTCCTTTTAGCACCAATTTCATTGTGTCCCCTATGTTTGGGTATGCTGTGTATTCATTTTCATTGAATTATAGAAAGTCTCTTATTTCTGTTTAGTTTGGTCTTGACCAATTTTCCACTCAGTAGAGAGTTGTTCAGTTTCTATGACTGTAAATTTTCTGTTTCTGTTTTTGTTGAAATCCAGCTTTATTCTGTGGTGGTCTGATGCAGGGAGCCTTTTCAATTTTTTGTATCTGTTGAGGCTTGCTTTGTGTCCAAGTATATGGTCAATTTTGGAGAAAGTTCCCTGAGGTACTGAGAAGAAGGTATTTTCTTTTGTGTTTAGGTGAAATGTTCTATAAATATCTGCTAGGTACATTTGGCTTATAATGTCTATAAGTGTCAGTATTTCTCTATTTAGGTTTTGTCTGAATGACCTGTCTGTGGTAATATTGTGTCCCCCAATATGTTGTGCACCCTAATAAACTTATCTGGGGTCAGAGAACAGAACAGCCACTAGACAGACATAGAGGCCAGAAAATGGTGGCACACACACCTTTAATCCTAGCATTCTGGAGGCAGAGATCCATTTGGATCTCTGTGAGTTCAAAACCACACTGGAAACAGTCAGGCATGGTGGCATACACCTTTAATCCCAGGACTTGAGATCTTATGTCTATTTTGGGAAAGACACACACCTTTAATCCCAGGAAGTGATGGCAGGAAGGAGAAAAGTATCTAAGGTGTGAGGACAAGGAACTAGAGGCCCTTTAAGCTTTTAGGTTTTTGAGCAGCAGTTCAGCTCAGATCCATTCGGACTCAGAAGCTTTCAGTTTGAGGAAACAAAATCAGCTGAGGAATTGGCGAAATGAGGTTGGCTGTGACTTGTTTTGTTTCTCTCATCTTCCAGAGTTCACCCCGAATCTGGCTCCAGAGTTTGTTTTTATTAATAAGACCTTTTAAGATTCGTGCTACACCTGTCTTCCTCCGCGAGCACACCCTCCTTCCTTTGTTTTTGATGGTGTGAGATTATTTCCTTATTTCCTATGTTTTCATGGGTGTACTTAACCTCCTTGGGTTGGAGTTTTCCTCTTAACACTTTTTGTAGCTGGATTTATAGATAGACATTGTTTAAATTTGTTTTTTTTTTAAATCATGGAATATCTTATTTTCCCCAATTTATGATAATTGAAAGTTTTGCTTGGTATAGGTGTCAGGCTAAGCATTTGTGGTCTCTTAGGATGCATGCAGCACATCTATCTTGGTTCTGTATGTGTAGTGTTTTGATTATTATGCGTTTAGGGGACCTTCTTTTCTGTTCCAGTCTATTTCGTGTTCTGTAAGCTTCTTGTACCACTGAAGGTACCTCCTTCTTTAGGTTAGGAAAATTTTCTTCTATGGTTTTGTTGAAAATATTTTCTGGGCCTTCTCCTTCCTCTGTTTCTGTCAGTTTTAGGTTTGGTCTTCTCATGGATTTCCAGATTTCCTGGATGCTTGTGTCAGGAATTTTTTAGATTTAGAATTTATCTTTGACCAATGTGTCTGTTTCTTCTATCTTGCCTTCAATGCCTGAGATTCTCTGGTCCATCTCTTGTATTCTGTTGGTGAAGCTTGTCTCTATAGTTTCTGTTAGAATTCCTAAATATTTCATTTCTAGAATTCCTTCACTGTGTGTTTTCTTCTATTTTCATTTTAAAGTCTTGACAAGTTTTATCCCTTTCTTCTACTGCTTGTTTTTATTGTCTTTCTTTAAGGGATTTATTCTATTTCTTCCAATTGTGTTTTCCTGGATTTCTTTCATGGATTTAATCATTTCCTCTTTGAGGACTTCTGTCAGCTTCATATAGTTGGTTTTATGGTCTTTTTCTTATGCTTCTGTTTTGTTGGAATATTCTTGGCCTACTGTGGTATGATACCTGGGCTCTAGTGGATACATATTGTCCTGGCTTTTATTGATTGTATTCTTTTGCTGGCTGGCATCTAGGTATCTGTGTTTGAGGTGATTATAGGTCTAGGTACTGATTTCTGGGTTTGTCTTGGTAGGTGAGTGTTTTATTCCTTGGTTTCTGTTTCCTATCTGGATAGTCAGAGTGTGGTGGCTGTGTATTGCCTGCTTTACTGTCCTGCTTGGCTGGTGTGCCCACAGGGAATGCCTGCTGGTGTTGGAGGCTGGAATGCAGTCGCAGTCGGGGGGGAGGGAGGTCAACAGGGGTTGTCTGTGGTATCCATGAAATACATGGGGGGGAGGGGAGACCACAGCTTGTGGTCTGTTGCAGTGCTAGTGAGTAGAGGGGGGGGATTGGTTCTAGGGGAACATAGAGAGTAGAGAAGTTCTGTAGGGGCATGACCTGAAGCTGAGTAGCAGGTCTCCACTTGAGTTGGGGCCTGGCATATAGTGTCAGCTTGGAGGGAGGGAGTTTAAGAGGGGATAGATGGTGGGATCCACAGGAGATGTGGGCATGGCAGAAGGAAGACCAAACCTAATGTTCTGTTGTAGTTCTAGGTATGAGCCTGAGAGATTGGTCTTGGGGTAGCAGAGAGATTGGAGAAGGTCCATCGGCACCCTACTTGGTTTTCTGGCAGACATGGCCTCTGGTTGGGCAAGTAGAGTCCACCTGAGTTGGGTGCTAGGATACGGTGATGAGTGGGAGGAGGGAGAGCAGGAGGGCATGGTCTCTGGTGCATACAGGAGATGTGGGTAGGGTGGAGTGGAGACTGCAGCTGGTGCTCTGTTGCAGCACTAGGGAGGACCCAGAGGAATTGGTCTAGGGAAATAGAAAGTGTGGATATGGTTTGTGGAGATGCTACCTGGTTGTCTGGCATGCTGGTGTTTAATTTCTTAACCTGTGACTATCCTTCTATTCTTTCATTTCCATTCCACCCAGAATTTCAAATTTATAATACCTTGGCTTCCCTTGGCTTAACTTTTTCTGCTTTCTACATGTAAGCGTTTTTATATTAAAATATGATTACATGTCTATTGTTTTCCTTGTTCAGCTCATGTTTAGGAAGTTATGTTGGTGAGAATTTAATGGTGTAGCTTCTGACATGAATTTGAAAGAGCAAGGTGGGTATATGGGAGGATTTGAAGGGAGTAAACAGAAGGAAAATTATGTAATAATATTATAATTTCAAAAAGAGAAGGAAAAAAACTTTGCCTATATATGTTATTTTCATCTGGAGTTTATTAGACATAAACTAACTGTAATAGACTTTTAAGTAATATTTTTATTCTTTGATAATTTCATACGATGTATTTTGATCATGTTCACTCCCTTCAACTCTTCCCATATCCACCCTCTCTACACTTAACTCCCTACTAACCTAAATTTGAGTTTTCTCCTATTTTTTTTTCATATCAAGTCCAATTTGTGTTGCCTAATTACTCTTGGAAGTGGGGTCTTCTATGAAGATATTTTAAGGAATATACACTTGGTATTAAAGCCTTCCCTTAGGGAAAATCAAAAGATAAAGTATATCTAGGTTGAGAGTAATTTGTCCTAGATATTTACATGTCAGTTATGTTTCTGTGGTAAAACATCATGACCAAGTTTATTTGGGCTTGTTGTCCCAGAGGGATGGATAAGAGTCTGTCACTGTGGGTAAGCATGGCAGTAAGCAGTAGACATGTTGGTTAGAGCAGGCTACTGAGAGCTCACATCTTGAACCACAGGCCTTAAGATCTCAAACCCCACCCTCAATGACATAATTCCTCCAGCAAGACCACATCTCCTAAACTGCCCACACTGCACTACCAACCATGGACCAAGTATTCAAATTCCTGAGACTAAGCAGGGATAATTTCTCATTTAAATCACCACCTTTTATTCTTTTGCAACACTGTTTTAAAAACCAAAGCCCAGAGAGTCTTTTCTGAGATTCAAGCAGTCTCATAAGTAACCACCTGTAAAATCTGAAAACAAATTACACACTTCTAACATGTAGTAGCACTGAATGCACATTCACATCCCAAAAGGGAGGAATGGGGCATAGTGAGGAAATACTGGACCAAAACATGGCTCTGACATCTCCAACATCTTTGGTTCTTCACTGCAATCCAGGTTTCACACAAAGGCCTCTTAGGGTCTCTTGCCCTCTTAGGTTCATTACCACTGTTTCCTGGCCTCTGTAGCTTTCTAAAACCATGGAGAAAGATTCTATGTCCCCTTTACTCTTATATCCTTCATAACTCTCAAGCCAACACCACCTGGATGACATTTCTAAAGCTGTCAGCAATGTAGGCAAGATGAATGGAAGTCTATTGTATCAAATAACAGTAGAATAAAAATGCTTACTCTAGTAATAACTTTGGAAATGAAGCTTTCAGTGGAGTAAGAAGTATCAATAGTAAATAGGAAACAATGATTTCAAATTTCATGTTGAAACTTTAGCACTATGTACTCCGAACTTAAGACAAAAGGATAGAAGAATAAAACTTACCACAAAAAGTTTAAAGCAGTAAGAAATTGGAGCATAGTAGAAATATCAGAAGCATGATACTGATTATTATCATAATTTCTCATTAGTCAGGATTTGCACGAAGATGTTGAAGAAGCTGGTGCACTGCAGAAAAATCATGCTTCTGTGACATCTGTGAAGTCCATAGAGGTTGCAGAGGCTGCAGAAGCTTCTTGCCTGCCTACTGCAGATGAGTCATTAAGCACCCGGAGCTGTGAAACACCAGCAGAACAGACTCAGAGCAGTGATCCAGAGAGTTCACTAGAAGTAAATGATGCTGAAGCAGCAGAAGAGAAAGAAAATCTTAGTGATGCTAAAACTTCAGAGGAAGAGACAAGTGAAAATGTGCCTCAAGTACAAGACAACACAGAGCCACCAAAGAAAAATACCATTACTTACTCACAGATTATTAAAGAAGGCAGAAGATTTAATATTGATTTAGTATCAAAAGTAAGTACTAATTTTATACATCTTAACGTAGAACAACAATAATTTTAAATGATTGAAAATAGCATCTGGAACTCTCAGTGTACTTTTCTTTATTTTAGTTTATGAATTATGTTTGCTTTACATAAAGATAGTAAACAGAATTTTATAATTCAGTTACAAAAGAGTTGTTTTAAGTATAGGTTAAAATTACACTAAAATGTTAGTATTAATATAGTTACTGCACTTTTAAATTATACTAAATATTTTCGTCTGAAGAATGCTAATGTATTAGGGCAGGTAGTTCATCTTAATATTCTAATTCATGGGCACTATCAATTCCATCAGAAGAAAAATTCTATTGAATTTGTGTTCAAATCTCATGTTCTTTGCAATAAATTTTATTTAAATGTCCTTAGCCCTTATAAAATTTATCCTTAGTATAAGTATTCCAAATGAACAAATGCATTTTTTAAAATCATACAGTCAGGTTTGAGGACATTGGAGCATACCTTTCTAGTAGTGGCAAAGCATGTGAAGAATTCTTTTGTCTTTGCTGGTTTTTCCATAATTAACTCTAACATTATAATTTCTGATGCTGTTGCTAGGTCATGGGAGACTTCAATACTGCATGGGGTTCATAAGAAGCAAGGATATTTTTGTTCAAAATAATAATAAAATACCCCATCAGACTTGCCATAAAGAGTGTGATAAGAGAAAAGGGAGGGGACAATTCATGCACTTTATATTTTGCTGATGAAATCCAGTATGCCCATTCCCCTGTTCACTTTGAACTTAGTGTGTGGAAATATAAATATTTCCCTACATAAAATATTGTACTATTCAGAATAGTAGAGAAAAATCAACATAAAAGTTCTTTTTTTCCGACTTAACAATTCTAAGTAAGCTTATATACCTCAGTTATGGAGCCAGTGTGCCAAATAGACAAAACAAATTGTTTAAAAGGGCTTCTGATTATTTTAGTGTGATTGCAGCTTTGTTTCATCTCATTCATGTAAAATTGACATGGTAGATCACTTAGGGGACATTGAAAAAAATGTATGATTAAATGCGGTACATGTATTATTTCCATGCTTCAGAAACTTATGTCTAAGATAATTTTAGTTAAAATTGGTTTTTTATTCTTCAGTGAAAACTGAAATTTACTTCTTTTAAGCTTTATTTGACTTAATAATTAGAATGAATTTTTAGACTGTATTAATTATTTATAAAATTGTGCCTCTTGATGGAGTATTACATCAGAAATAATTATTTTTTAAGCAAATGGAATACCACTTTATTCTACTTTATAGTTAAGACTTGTCATTTTAAAAATTATGTAAGGTGTATCACTTACAGTGTGTTAAGAATGAGGTAATCAAATAGCGTGGCATATTTATTTAGTCAGAGTATTTAGATTAATTTCTAAAAATGACACATTAACTTCAGTTGGCATAATGCTAAACTAATATGATAGTTTACAAAATTGTTCATAATTTATTGATATACAGATCATCTTTGGTGCTCAAATTAATAATTGAGATCAAAATTTTATGCTTCCATATTTCTTTGTATAGTGAAACATTTTATTTAATTTTTTCCAGTTATTATAAATATAGCTTTTATCTTTTTAGTGTATTGAGTTATAAATTATAAGTACCATGATCATAGGAAGTATCCAAATATATAATATTTATACATATGGTTGAATTTCTAACATGATAGATAATACTGTTTAAAGTTTTATTGTTTTCCCCTGTGGTATTAATTATAAGGTACACTGAAAGATTAAGTCAGTCCTTCACACAGATATCAATAGTGAAATTGTTCACCTCTTGAAAAGATTATATGTCATATAAACTTAGAGTATGAGGGGCTAAGAATTTGACTCTGTTATGGAAATGTATCACAAATCCATGTGAGGTGATTTTGTTTGTTTTGGGTTGGTTTGTCTATATTGGTTGCATGGGGTGGTCCACTGTGCTGATCTCTTCTTAAAACCAACTGGCTCTATATCCAGTTCAAAATCCTGTATCAGCCTTAGATCTTTGGATCCTGAGGTGACAAAGATATTTAAGAAGGAAATATAGTGGATATGTTGATGTAGTGTGTGCAGTATAACATTCTTAGCAGACCTGAAAAGAGATTTCATAACTAAATGCATTAACATTTCTGTAATGAAATTCATGAATGTTCATATATCATCTAGACAAGAGTAGAAGAACTATTTAGGAGTTCAGGTTTTACTGTGAGAACAAGTTATGAAGAAACCTTTTATATTATAGATTTTTTTGGTTTAAATTACAGTAATGAACTGTGAATATTTAATGAATTCTCTTATGCAATATATACATATATATATATATACTTAAATTCTAACACGTTTGTGTGTGTGTGTTAGTTGCCATTTTCCATTATTTTGTCTTTGATCATATCTTCTCAAATACTTTCTGCTTACAGCTTCTCTATTCTCGGGGATTACTAATTGATCTTCTAATCAAATCAAACGTTAGTCGATATGCAGAGTTTAAAAATATTACAAGGATTCTTGCATTTCGAGATGGAATTGTGGAACAGGTACTGTATCACTTAACCATGTGAGTCAAGTTACTATTACTCATTTAGAAGGATAAGAAAGGACAATTACTATTTTCAAGTTACTATTACTCATTTAGAAGGATAAGAAAGGACAATTACTATTTTCCTAGTAAGGCAGTAAATTCCAACTTTGCATGGTTGTTTATAAATGTAAATACAAAATTTGCTTCAGTAAATTTCCTGTTTTATTTTTGAACATTTATTCCCCAGGTTGATTTTAATGTTGAGGAAATGCTAGTTTCAGGCAGCAATGCTATATTTGAATTGTCATTTGTTCCTTATTAGGGGTGACATGTCATTGGCCTTTTAATGGCATGAAGAACAACTTGGCAGAATTAAGTAACAGAGCTCTCAAGTTAATTAGCTCTGTAGTTAACAGAGATGCTATTAGAACTGATGAAAGGTGACATGAAGCAGCCAGGATGGAATGGAAATGATAACCTTGTAATGAGGAAAGGAATACAAAGTATAATCTGGAATACTGTGTCATTAGGAAACATTTTAAAATCGTCTTCACTTACAAATACTTTTCAGGTTCCCTGTTCTAGAGCAGATGTCTTCAATAGCAAACGACTTACTATGGTAGAAAAACGAATGCTTATGAAATTTCTAACATTTTGTATGGAATATGAAGAACATCCTGATGCATACAAAGGTATTGCTTTCCATTAACTTGTTTTGTTAATTATTTGTGATTTTAATTTTAATACGGTTCCTCAATTTGGTAAACAACTAATTATTCTAAAATGCATTCTAACTTCTACTGTATCTAGTAAGTTAGCCATAGCAACATGGTACTATTTAAATTCATTCAAATTAAATACTTCATTCTCTTAGTCATGCTAGCCATATTTCAAATGCTTGGTACCCATATGCGTCAAGTGGCTATAATGCAGAGATTTTCAACATTGCCAGAATGTCATGCCAGGCCCTCATTTTTATTCTTTTTAAATTAAATACCCTGGATAACTGATTATTTAATCTATGTGTGTATGGCACTAGGAACTGAATGTAGGACATGGCTCATGAGATATAGCCTATTAATTGATTGTTGATATATGCCATTCTTTTTGTTATTTCGTCTTTGTCATTAATAATAATAATAAATTTGTGTAGATGTCACTTTTCAGGACTGTTTTTACTTGAAATGTTGAGCTCTTCATTTTATTGACATAAATGCTATGTGATGTATACTAGAAACCTCTAGATTTAGAGAAGCTGTGGCTTCCAATCTTAGCTTTAAGCCTACTATTGTAATTTTACGTACAGTTATTTTAGTCTGTTGAAAATTGATTTCATTGTTTTAATGTCTACTGCTTTTCAAGTACATTGGGGTGGAAAATTGTGCAAAATTAAAATATTTTGTTCATAATTCATTTATAAAATTACAATGAGAATTGCATCATGGTTTGTTTTGATGGAATTCTGAAAACCTCTTTCTTGCTAGTAAAGCCTGAAGAAATAACAGGTTGTTCTTTCCAGTGCCTAAACTTAGAGCCTGTCAGTCAGTTAACTTCTATCATTTTTATTGACTTAGATTATTTACCTAAACTAATGTCTGTTGTCACAAGATTGTTTCTTCCCACAAGTAGTACATTTACCTGTTTTCTCTTAGGTAATGAAAGGACTAGTTTTGTAGATGTTCCTTATTATTTGAAGTGTGATTATCAGCATGTTGGGTTCCAGCAGCCACACAGAAATTAGTTTCATTATTTTTTAGTAAAAGTTTTTTATTCTAGGTTTGAATGCAAAATACATATTTAACAAAAGGAAAATGCAAAATGTAACAAAAGTGACATTTTTATTAATTCATTTTATCAGTTCACTACATTTTATCTTGCTTAATATTTTCAGATTTGTGTTAACATTATTATATAGTTTAAATGCTGATGAATTGAGGTTATTGCCATTCAGCATAATTCATTGAATTATTTAATGTCTTCCTGGATTTTCATATCAATAAAATAGTAAAGGTTTGTCATTTAAAACTTAAAAACTATGCCATCAATTTATTTAGGATAATGAGGTTGTTTCCATATTTTGTTCTTAAGACCCATAGTACATGTCCAAACTAGTAATAAGGACCACTAGTGTCCTGTTTGAAGTCTTTAACAGACTTGACTCTATTAATGTGGGATATTTTTAAATAGAAATTAAATTGGATTTTAATTGATAAATTTTCATCTTTCTTTTCATAGCATATGAGGAAACTCCATTTTCTGAATATTTAAAAACGCAAAAATTAACCCCCAACCTACAATATTTTGTCCTGCATTCAATTGCAATGACCTCAGAGCCAACAAGCTGTACTGTAGATGGCCTCAAAGCTACCAAAAACTTTCTTCACTGTCTTGGGCGGTATGGCAACACTCCATTCCTGTTTCCTTTATATGGCCAAGGTGAACTCCCACAGTGTTTTTGCAGGTAAGTTACAATTTATGTCTTCTAAAAGAGGACTTAATGTTGTATGACTAACATGAAAATTAAACAAAGATGAGGTTGGTGGTGCATCCCAGTGTTCCTTGCATGTGAGACGTGAAAGCAGGAGGGTTAGAAGTTCAAGGCCACTCTTGGCTACATAGCACGTTGAGGCCAGGATTCTTTCTAGAAGCTCTTATCTTCAAATTAATTCAATGAAGAATTAGTATATACAAACATAGTTCATTCTGTTTTTTATAGGCAATTTAATGTTTGTTGGTTCCATCTAAATGATATATTCAGTTTGGCCTGTTTTGGACCTGATAAAGTATTATAAATCTCTATTGTCACCCAACATTATGTTTCAACAATGATATTGTATATATGCATTTTTAATCTTTTAGATTTATATTTATATGTATTAATATATTCAATTATATTTTATTTAATTTTCATTGTTAGATAAGTCTATTGTAAATGTACCATAAGCTGCTTTTTTTCCCATTTTTTTTTGTTGATATTTTCTATTAACATCCTTGTGTATGTGTCTTAGTTAGGGTTTCTGTTGCTATAATGAAACACCATGACCAAAGCAACTTGGGGAGGAAAGGGTTTATTTGGCTTACACTTCCATATCACTGTTCTTTATCAAAAGAAGTCAGGACAGGAACCCAAACAGGGCAGGAACCTGGAGGCAGGATCTAACTCAGGCCATGGAGGGGTGCTGCTTACTGGCTTGCTTCCATTGGCTTACTCGGCCTGCTTTCTTATAGAACCCAGGATTACCATCCCAGAGATGGTACTACCCATAGTGGCCTGGCCCTCCCTCATTGCTCACTAATTAAGAAAAGGTTTACAGTTAGATCTTATGGCAGCATTTTCTCAATTGAGGCTCCTTCCTTTCAGATAAACTCTGTAGTTTGTGTGTCAAGTTGATGTAAGACTAGCCAGCACAGCATATCTTATGATATATGTGTTCAAGACTTTCTTTTGGAGCAGCTAGAAAGATGGGCCAATAGATAAAGCGTGCTTGCCATGCAAGCATGAGGATCTGAGTTCATATCCTCAGAACCAACAAAAAAAAGCCAGAAGTAGTCACCTGTGTGCCCGTAACTCTAGAGTTCTGTGGAAGAAGTCTGAGACTAGAGGATCTCTGTGGCTTGCTTGTCACAAACCTAGCTCCAGATTTATTGAGAAGCCCTGTCTTAATTTTTCTATTGCTGTGATGAAACAGCATGACCAATCTAACTTATGGAAGGAAAGGTTTATTTGGTGTACATTTCCAGAGGGATAGGAGTCCTATCATGGTGGGGAGCCAGAGCAACATGTATGGTGGCAGGAGCAGGAAGCTCATCTCACACCTTCATTTGCAAGCAGGAAGTAGAATGAACTTGATGAGTGATGAGTAATATACTGCCCTAGCAAGGCCACACGTGCTAAACCTCCCCAAACAACCCCAACAACTATTGAGGGATATTATCATTCAAATCACTACACCCTGTTCCAAGGTGAACAGTAATGTAGTAGAGCAGGACACCTATGGATGCACAGGCACACACATACACTCCCACAACACATATAATATTTCCTTTAGGAGGCGTACCTAAGAATGAGGTTTTTATAAATGATTTTGTATGAGTGCTTTTCCTGCATGAACATATGTGCATCACCTGTGTGCCTGGTGTCCATGGAGGAGCCACTAGAACTGAAGTTATAGATGGTTGTGTGCTGACATGTGATAGCTGAGCTGCAAACATGGGTCCTCTGCAAGAGCAGCCAGGGCTCTTAACCAGTGAGTCATCTCCAGACAAGAATGGATTCTTTTTTTAGCCATAGCATGTGTGTTTTACATTTTACTATTATAATATTGTTATTTCTTTTGATAATTTTATTAGTTAGACCCTAGGAACAGTATATAGGAATTTCTATTTGCTTTATGTATTTCCCAGCATTTAAACAATGTCATTAGTCTTTACTCATTGCCCTGATTTCCTGTGAGGTTGAGCCTGTCATTTATTGGATATTCATGATCTCTATTCTGAGGACTACTTTTTCATCTTTTGCCCATTTATCTTTTGGGTTGTTGCCCTTTTCTTAATGATTTACAGGATTCTTAAGTGTATTCTGATTATTGATCATAGTTAAAATTTTATGTGTTTTGTCTGTGTTTGTGTTCTCCAAGAAGATTGTTAAGATTAGTATGGTTGGATTCAGGAAGCTTTTCATTTCTGTGTAGCTTTTTGACTGGTAGTATAGCGTGGTAGTTAAGAATATGAACTTTGTAGATAGGCTGCTTTAATGTTTAATGTTTAAATGGGGTGTCTTTGTTTACTACCATTGTAACCTGGGGTAAGTTTTATAGCTGTAGTAGATTTCTAAGAATTAAGTTGGGTGTTTGAATTGTCTCTGTTAAAGCTTTGTTTATTAATTCTTTACTGTCTCTTTGGTTTGCTTGTGGGAGACTTACTTGAGCTCTCTTGTATTCTTCCTTGCCTTTCCCGGTTGTTGGGCTGAAACTTGAAAACTTATTTGATGGAATAGTCAGTGGAACTGACCCTTCCTTGAAATCAGATCTATTAACCTCCAAAGTCTAAATCCTGGTAGCCTGTGGTTGACTTGAAACCATACCAATAACATTATTAATACATATTTTGTGAGTATTGCTTGTGACAAAAATTATGTAAGGAAAGATCATTTTTTTTACACACTCTTTCTTGGGGAAACAAACTGCTTTTGTGATGTTTGCTGCCACTCAGAATCTTAAGTGTAACACTTGAGTTTGCTGACTATAACATGAGCTAGCTATGAAATGATTGCAGTAACACAGTATGGACCACATTTATCTTTGTGTTGCTTACTTTTCTTTCCACTGTGAATGGTACCATATACTGTTTCTGTGTCAGAGTGTGTAAAATTTGGATTAATATTAATTTTTCATAATGCCATAGTTTTTAAAAGTCTACAGTGTACATTTGGTATTATTTGATCATAGTAAATGATAAAAATATAGTATTGTTTACACATTTTATGTTTTGAAAAGTCAACTATATTAGTCTCTTTGTGTGAAAAACATCTCATTATGTAGCTCAGGCTGGCCTCAAACTCACCATTCTCCTACTTCAGCTTCTGAAGTACTCAGATTATATAAGCATGTCCCACCAAACTCAGTTTATCTTTTTAGCTAGTAAAAACTTTTAAATTATGAAAATACATATGAGTTGTTTTATAAAATATTTGTTGGATTTTTTTCATGTTATGAGTATCTGTGTATGCTTGAATGTATGTATAGCCTCCACATGTGTGCATGCTCTCAGAGCCTAGAATTTTACATTCTCATTCTGTTTGATATATACTTTTATATGGTCAATTAGTGTCATGTGTTAATCCTGCTGATTCAGATTAGTGTTTTATTTCCTCTTGCACTGCTTTCCTTTGATCTGGTCTCTCAGAACTTGAGGTACTTTGTATTTCTGCAGTTATTTGCTTTTGTCAGCAAGGCACTACAAATTTGAGGTGTTACTAGTTCTTTTCCAGGACCTTCACTTGGTTATGCAACCCAGTATAGCTCTACCATGATGAAACTGGCATAAAGCTTTTGAACACATAATTTTTGTTGTAGTAGTGTTTATTGCTCAAAGCTGTAATTTCAGCCCTAGTTTTGTAGTGTGTTCTTCCATGTGTTTCAGGGATGAGGTATTTATCATTGGTGGTTGCTTTCCTTCAGTTCATTATCAGGAGTGCAGGAAGAATTGTTTCATGTAAAATAGAATATTTTTTTTGGTGTGAACAGATGGTTCTGTTATAGTGTTGCATCACAGAGTAAGTGGAAACATGTATTCTCATATTTATATTTCCTAAATATTTGATTATAAGAATGGAAATGACTAATTTCTGAATATTATAGGTCTCTTTCTTCCTCCTACATAGGAGACAAAGTAGAGATGATGGAGGAGTGTTGAACTCTTAGAACCATAGCTCGTGCTATTAATTGAAATTAGGTAGGGACCTGTGATCCTCCTGCATCTGACTCTGCATCATATCCTACTGGCGTGTACCACCCAGTTATATTTAGGGGTGTGTGTGTGTGTGTGTGTGTATGTGTGTGTATGTATGTATATGTATGTGTGTATATACATGTACATACATGAATGCAATAACAGTGAAAAAATCAGGCCATGAATTTGATGGAGAGTGGGGAGGGGTATAAGGGAGGGTTGGAAGGCAGAAATATAATTAAATTATAATCTCAAAAATAAATAAAAATGATTAAAAAAGAAATTAAGTAGGAAGTTTTATACTTTTCTTAGTCACTCTTTTCATGTATAACTGCTGTTTCTTGTGGAGTTTTTGTTTACATTTTTCAGAAACTATGGTGTAATTTTTTTTCTGTTGCTACACTCATTTCTACCAAACTGGGTAAAGAACAGGGATGGAATTAAAAGTTCCTTGTGAAGTGATCTGCAGCACACTGACTTATTTATTAATACTTTATACAGATGAAAGGAAGCAACCTAGCATCATGTTACACAATTCCAATCCTGGATCACCATGAGTTTGTGGCCAGCTTGGACTATATAGTGAGACCTTATCTAAAGCTAATCATAAAAAGCAGTAGTCTTTTTCTGAAAAATTGAAATCCTTAATATGCCCAAGTCTGAAATTTGGAGTGCTGACATGATGCCACAAGTGGAGAATTCCACATGTTACCTGCTACTTTATTGTCTAAACACCCATACAGCAAACATGTTTAAACTTACCCTCATCCTTTTTTATTAGGAATATATTAAACACAGATAAGTTAGTGTTTAAATTTGGATCTCATCACTAAACTACCTTGTCACCTTTTGTATATTGCATATATTTCAAAATATGAAAATACTTCAGAATGAGATATTTATGTATTATATCCTAGACAAACAAGAGCATTTCCTCCTAAGTTGGTAGTTAATCGTTTTGTTTGTTTGTTGTTCTTGATTTTTTTCCTTTTTGTTTATTATTCTCTCATA